GACCATCGCAGCATCCCCACGGTCACGTGATCGACATTTGTGCACTTCACAGCTAGCTTCCCACAAGCAGAGGAGAAGCCAGCAGTAAAATCACAAGTTGCGGTCAGGTGATGTCTCACTTAATGACTGTGACAAATCACTTAATGGCCATGGTGGAAATGAGGTTGTAAGCCTGTCGCAGTCATGTGATGTCTTGTTTAATGACTGCATCGCTTAGCAACGGAGTTTTTGGTCCCAATAGTGGTTGTTAAGTGAGGACTACTTGTATTGTTTTTCCATTGGTTCTGATTGCACTACTTTCTTGGGTCAAAGAGAGAGCTAGAAGCAGGGGAGGGTGCATGAGGGTGTGTGAGGGTGTGCAAGAGGCACAGCGTGGGTTGGGAAGGGTGGGCAAGAGTGAGCAAATGGCCAGCACAGTGTGAGCACAGAGAGGGAGACTTACCCCATTGTCTTGCAACCTTCCCTACCGACTTCCCCATAGACTTTCTGGGGAAGCCAGCAGGGAAGCTGGAAGTGGCGATCACATGATTGCAGGGCGCTGCAACCGGTTGTAAGTACGAACCAGTTGCCAGGCACACAGATCACGACAACCTGACTGCGGGGTGCTGGGACAGCCAGAACTCTGAGGACCAGTTGTAATCACCTTCCTTTGAGCGCATCGTAACTTTGAACAAGTGGTCGTAAGTCGAGGATTACCTATAGCTAAATTTTGTGTGGTGGTAATCAACATTTGCAACAGAGAGTCAGTGGGCTGGGATATGGGCAAACACCCTAAAAAACTCTCTCTTTGCTCTGTTAACACTACCACTGCCATAAACAGTGTTTTACAGTGAACTTTCTTCCTCTAATTAAAACTGATCTAGTCAATTTCTCAGCCCAATAATGTGGCAATAATTCTTCCCTTCTTCATTCCCAAACTCAAAATAATAGTTTCAGCTAAGAAATAATCTGCTTTATTATGCTATATTACATCTATATTGTATTATATCCAGATGTTGTTCAAGAACTCACATGGAGCTCGTATTCTCCACTTTGTATTTGTTCTTCTGTAGCATGCCCCATTTCTTTACTGTTTTTATTTTTGTCTTCTCATTGTTTCGTGCTGGTCATTGACCAAAATAAAGTGATGAACCTCCTTATTTACTTACTTACTTACTTACTTACAACAACTGACTTAGGCTCCAGCCAGAATCAGCCTGACCTGGAACGACGCTTTTCAAGCTTTTTCAGGCCATGGAATTGGTTTGTTAAAAAATATCCCAGAATTCCGAATCAAAAGATAAATCTCTAGAGATAGAAGACTGTCTGGGTTAAAATGACATTTTTTGTTTGCTGGTTTGTTTTTTGCCCTTATTTTTTCCAGGAAGCCCAACAAGTTTCCAGGGAACACAGTTGAAAAATTCTGACCCGTGAAAGGTTATGGTGGGAAGAATTGCTTATGGGCCCTCATTTCTGAGAAGGAGCAGAACCAGGACCAGCCCTCTGAAAATGGGATTCCCAGCTGAAATCAGATCGGTTCCTTCCCTGATTGCATTCAGGAAGATGCAAAAAACAGAGTTATTCCATGCAACATTCTAGCGAGATCTTGCCATCACTTTCTTTGTATTGATCTATGTTGATTTTTTTTATAATAGGATAGTTTTAGACATTTTAAAGTACTCTGGATGTCTTAGTGCTGTCTTATATTGTGTAAAACTGCCAAGAGTCATTTTTGATTGCAGTGGGATATAAATGTGATAAATAAAATAGAAGTTGTTTGGGTAGCGAAGAGGTGGACTTTTATCATCTCTGCTTAACACTGAAGCGTCTGGAAGGACTGTCCTTTCCCCATCAAAGTAATACACAATTTGAGAGAATCAGCCTACAGACCAATTTACTTGATCAAGCGTCAAAACCAACCTCCTATAAAATGGAAAGACAAAGCAAATTGTGACTCTTTTATGAAGTTATTAGTTGTTCTACCCTCAGCTACTTCATTAGGGATACAATCCATCCCTGCTTAATCAGGTTTGCTAGCCTGGTTATCGGAGCAGGGTCTCTGTGTCTATTCATTCAGATGAAATGCTTTGGGCTAGTTGCCAGAAGTCAGCTGAAAATTTCAGAGCAAGTTCAGAAGCTCACTTGTACCTGTGTGTTCATTTAACACAGTGAGATTTACCTTAGTAATCAAAGAAAATGCTTAATTAAAAAGAGAAAACAACACAGATACAAAGATGTGTTCCTGTGTCTGTGTGTGTGGGTGTGTGTGTGTGGGTGGGGGAGGGGGAAGGAAGAAAGGAAAAGAGAAAGAGCGGGGGAAGGAAGGAAGGAAGGAAGGAAGGAAGGAAGGAAGGAAGGAAGGAAGGAAGGAAGGAAGGAAGGAAGGAA